CGTGAGCACTGTATTTTCTATATGCAGAGCACCGGCAACTCCAAGAAAAATTAAAGTAGGACGCCCCAAGATGATCACTAGAGTTCTTAGGAAGAAGCTAGTAGACTTTGCTACTGCTTCTCAGAAGAATCGCCGTCTCCCATTCACGGAAGTAGCAGAGTTAGTTGGTATCACGGCCGATGTAAGAACTCTACGTACAGCATTTGCCACTGAAGGCTATCATAGGCGAATCGCTCGTTCTCGCCCATTTCTATCAGTTAAAGCAAAAGAAAAGCGACTGGACTGAGCTCAGCATTATGCTGACTGGACCCGGGCTGACTGGCACAAGGTCTGAATCCTTTTTACTCTCTTTTTCTCTTTTCTTTTCTTCTCTCTATGAAGTTAATACTAAGAAACTATGAAATATTTAGGTAATTTGGAGTGATGAAGCTGCCTTTAACGTTGGTGGTTTATCCTCCAATAATCAGGTTTGGGTTACTAGGCAGCCCGGGGAGGAAGACTTGGAGGATTGCCTGGTTCCCAAGTTTAAGAAGCTAGAAACCATTATAGTTTGGGCTTGCTTTAAGGGACGTGAGAAAGGACCCCTAATCTTTTGGGATAAGGAGTGGGGAAAAACAATTAAGGCAGCTTCTTTTACTAGTCATATAGTGCCTAAGTTCTACCGGTTCTGGCAGGAGCAATCTCAGCTTCAGTTAGACTATGTCTACCTACAGCAGGATAACGCTAGTCCTCATCAGGCTACCCATACGCAAAACCATTTCCGTGAGCTTGGGATATGGGGGTATTTTATTGATTGGCCCCCGTGTTCACTGGACTGTAGCCCTATAGAAAATATTTGGCGAACAATGAAGGACCACATCCGCAAACGCAATCCTTTTCCAACCACAAACGTGTTAGGGGGTAGGTAACTCTAAATCAAGCGAGTATACACTAGGCCCTGTAATCTTCTGTCTCGGAGATAGTCAAGAAGGCTTGTAAAGATAGAAGTAAAGTAGAACGAATATATTGATAAGATCTCGTCTCCGGTCGCTGATGATAGACTTAAAGCTAGGGAGGCACCTCGATATTTATATTCCGCATCTGGGTGTTCACGGCCTACATCCAATCCCTTACTGACTATGTACCTGCCATACTAACACTTCAGTGTCTTTGGAGTGCGAACTCCGTTTGACCCTGAAAACTAACTTCCCCGCTCTCTTCCTGAGTGGAGTGATCAGCTCCGTCAAAGGACTTATCAATGACTCTTCTATGTGCATAGCTTAGAGTGCATGACAAAGATAACTAACTCGACCAGTGAGTTGTTATAAACCAATTGTAACTAGGTCTTCCGGATGACTCTAGTTTACGCGAGCTGAAGGGACATGCATATTACTTCTTGTAATTGCATATAGACTTGCAGAAGTCGTAGCTCAATAACTAACCGACCAATCTGAACCAACTAAGTCTTATCTTGTAGAGCGGAGCTCCTTCTATGTTATCCAGCGAAAACCCCTCGGTCGCATGCCTCGTATCTCCGCGGAGCGGGCTGCATAGATGCCTTATCGTTCCGTGCGATAATATGATATCGTCACGATAACTACGGCGGGGCCCGGAGTCGAACACGTGACCTTATGCATTTAGTCACGTGCCGCACCAATTACACTATTATGTGTAACAAAACGAGTCTCTTCGCCATGCAATCATGGAAGAGTGGGACTCTATTTCACCCGAAGAATTTGAGTCTCTAGTAGACTCAGTTCCTACCCGCCTCTATGAGGTACGTATTAAAATTCCCACTTGCATAGGCAAATCTATACTTACAACTGGCTTTCTAGGTTCGGCTAGCTAATGGGGGGCATTCCGGTTATTGAAATACCCGCTCTACTTGGTCTCTTCCTACTTCCTTGGTTCACCCCCCAAATTGAAGCTATTATTGTTATTGGGATACCTGCTAGTCGTTATCTTTTTTTTTTTTTTTTCAATTACCTATTTTCTTGCTGTATTTTCCCATATTATTATTATAGGATTGCTTTCACTCACACTGCTTCGCTCAATGTTCTTCTGTTTTTCTAGGCAATAAACTCAATGTCTTGGACACCCCTGCTATTCTAACCTTGTACGAAAACATCATGCCTGTCGCTTGTATATGATACCATACCGGTATCAACTTACTAAACGGGAGAACGATACGCTGTGTCTCATAGTCGAGAAATTCCCACCTTTGGAAAAGGGGAGAAAAATACCGTGACCGCGGAAAAAGAGAAAAAAAAATTAAAAAATGTCTGACCTTACCAGAGGGGCCAACTCCAACGACATAGCACACCGTCCTGGTATTCAAGTTCCTATCATACGGTAGTCCATGCTTTAGGGCGCCTGCCATGATCCTTCCCTTATCATAGATGTATAATAGAGTTGCAAAACAAAGTGCGAACCCCATTCCTCATCCTTCCAAGTCGGAACCCCCTACGGGTATGCAAGTTGTATTGTACCTGTATCACACTATGCGAGTACTTGTATCATAACAGCGTATCAAACCTGGACCTGCCACCGCCCCCACCCTTGGAACACCGCAAGTAGCCTATCGTTAGGCGACTTATTATTGATACCTTGTTGTCGGTAGCGAGGCACCCCCCGCAACCTTCTTCTGGCCTTGCTGCTCAGGGGAAAATCATGTCTATTTTTTCTTACGATACTGTACACTGGGTAGCCTTACTCAGTGCCACTTGTACCTGCATGATATGCAGCGGAGCGTGGTAAGGGCAGGCGGGGAGAAATGTGAAAAACGGCTCAGGTGAGCCCGGTAAATTCCTCTATCACTCATAGGACCCTTGCAAAGGATGGTGCTTCGAGACGCCTCAAAGGGACGTGATAGCTTGTGGCCCTACGCACAGCGATATATCGTGTCAGGGGGTTCTGAATGCCAGTGTATGGGTCTGCTGATCTCCCTCTCATCGGTTCATGGGGACTACCGGTATCGGCCGTTCCGAGAGCTGGTTTCCGCCTTACCCTTACTACAATAACTGAGGCGAGAGTTTCAATGACAAACTGTTTCCCTTTAGCTAAAAGTCCACCAAGGGCGATTCTTTGATAATGTGCCCGGTGTTCTGCGCTGCACACACCCCAAATATAGCACAGTGCCCGCACCAGCTCCCGTGTATGATACTGCACCCGTAGAGCCTCTGCCCCTATAGTCTTGGTTATTCGTGAACTTTTCACGAGCCCAACAGGATAAACGGCAGGCTGTTGTGAGCTCCCCCCTCGAAAACCGGCTCATCCTTCCCATCGTATATAGGAGACCACTCACTGAATTAAAGCATACTGAGACTGCGTCTCTGACTAAAGAAATCTCCTAACCGGGTACGGAAATAGTTGCATATATGCGTACGGGAGAGCATGCAAATCTTTATCCACCCCTAACCAAGTGCGCCTCTTACCCTGTATCTCATGAGCGGTCACCATCCCATGCACCCTTGAACCCAGACCAGCAGGGGGTGCATTAATACCATCACTGGCCCATCATACAAATTCAGACACTTCCCACCGAGCAACCTGATGTCCGACCCGGCTCCTGGAGGGGAAGGAACCAATTAACGACTCCAAAATGCAAGCCGGTTCCGGAGGTGTGGTTCCGTGGGTGAAGTTACCGTCGGTGACTTGGGCGGTTTTATTTTTATCTTACGTCGACCATGATAGTACGGTACCGTACCCGTTAGTTTACCAATACCGGTAGAAACAATAAGACAGGTCCTGTTCGGCAAGTACAGCACTGTATCAATACGAGATCAGTACAGTCGCAAGAAAAGGCTATTGGGATAAAAGTTGAAAATGGTATATATTATATATTGGCCAATAAAAATATAGCAGTATCCTAGAGCCGTTGCTGTTCGGTAGTTATCGCAATATGGTAAAGGGGTGTACAAGTACTGTATGATACTGTGCTATACTACCGGCACAGAAAACAGCTCTAGCTCCCTTGACATCATGAGAATTGGTGTAATAAAAATTAATACCGCTTTTATAGAGAAAATTGGAAATATAGCAATGTTTGCACACAGGCCGAGCACTCCCTCAATAACAAACAAACCACCACCTTTCCTGCGGCATCAATCCTTGCCAATGCCCGAATCACTTCAACCAAAGAGCACAAAAGAAGGGATACCCCTCCACGAAAACAAAAAAAAAACCTACTGGAGGTCAGCAACTCGAACAATAACCAAAGAAGTCCAACACAACGCCAGAATATTCCATCCGCGACAAAAATGGCATAAAACCCTGAAAGACACCTCTGTTACTTTGTTATACCGTGCCAAACACTACCTATTTCAAAATAATAATAATTGTACTATGCAAAAGGTCCTTTCATGCCATAAAGGTGGCCTACGGTACGGAACAGGCCCGAGACAATACAGACGTGCCATCATGGGAGGAAACTCGTTCCAAATCTGCCGTATCCATCTGTCTACCCAGGGATGGCGGCTATCCCGGCCGGAGTTTTTTGCCGAGTCGCCGATACCCGGGGCTCCCGATATACGGGTGCTTGTACTAGTACTAGTGCAGTACCAGGAGGGAGGCCTTCGCAGAACAGTGTGATACCCCCTCGGCAAACTCTGCCCGCTCCCCTTTATTAAAGGGGGGATTTGGACTTCAAGGCGCACACCCCGACTACTCTACAGTGTTCGAGTGATAGGAGTCCTATTTGTGTCTGGTGCTTACCTAATCCATGCACTAACATACCGTAGTGGATGACAGACTGTCGGGCGAATAGTTGACCACTGCACCATCCCCTACCGATAGTCCGTCCTGGGTTTCTGTGTCGTACACAGAGATTGTACCCTTAAGCAATCAAAGGAGTTACTGTACTGTAACAAAAAAACAAAGATCCCTTACCGGTAGTCAGTCAGCGCGCCCAAGAGATCGGTGGAATATGCCTCAGTTTTAAAACCCTAGCAATTCATTTCCAGTTGAGGAGGTATGCTTTCCAGATCTCGTGGTTGCTTGACCAGATCTCTTGGGCGTTTATTGAGGAACACTGTATATTTTATTAAGGGCGCAAGGGATACCATCACTGTGCCCCAGCAGTATACCGGTACGGTATTGTACTCGTACATGTGCCCACCGGTAGTGAATGTTCGGTATGGTACCGGAGCCATAACTTACGGTATGGTAGACTACCGTACCGTAACCCTGCTCTATGCGCAGCCGCCGAGCATATGATACCGTTACTAAGGAAGTGATAGCTTCCCCCCCGCTTCGGTGCAGATGTCATGAATGCTTACTTCAACCCTGGCTTGCAATCTAACTGGACGTATGATAGATGCCAGTACTCGTACAGGTGCCATAGAATTCACGGTCGGTGTCAGCGGAGGGGAGCACTTTCGAGGGCATTACATGCGTAGATGCATTTCAGTGGACTCAGCCTCTCCGTCCCCACCACCGGTGTTCCTCTTCCCTTTCCTCTCTTTCTCGCCATTGTCTCTCACTCTCAACGCACAGTACTGTACCGGTACCGTATCTCTTTAGCATAGTCGATGGTACACACAGATCAAATCTAAAAGCAGAAGCAAAGCACCTGACCCGCTAGTGTTCTCTCCTCCGTCAAAGGGAAGCCGAAACCCACCCACCCTTTTTCGTTTTTCCTCTCCCTACCTCCTTGTCCGTCCATCTCCCAGCTTCCTTCACTCTCTAACTTCAGAAATCTCATTCCATCCATCCGCGCGCTTCCAGAGCCAGATTTTCTGGTTCACCCTTCCCTCCTCCTCCTCCTCCGCTGTACTCGTACTGTGCAAGTACAATCGCGGCCGCACAAACTCGAGTACCGATCACGGATACACAGACCAGGTAATTTGCACCCTCACTATCTGCATACTAATTCCCTTCTTCTGGGCGGACTTTTTTTATTGCCTTGGCTTTCTTGGTAACGGCTTTTCTGACTCGGGTGTTGCTATATATAGCACACCGCCTCTCCATTCCTCCAGGGGTGCCTACCGATACTATGCCCTGAGGTAACCTTAACAAGAACAAGTGAAGATTTGAAAGAGCAGGGCAAAAACACTACGACTGATAAAGAATCCGATTGTCTGTGGAACGCTATCAGCAGCAAACAAACATATTCCCGAGCATTGCCAACCCTAGTTGATCACGAGCATCGTGATTGAAAGTTAAAGTTAGACACACGCACTGCGCATTCAGAGTGCTGGTGGCTTTTTTAAATTTTTTTTTAAATTTTTTAAACCTCAAGAATTCACCGAAGGCGGACATTCGTTTACGAACCTCCTATCAATACCTTCCGGAACGCACTCCGACCAGTTCAACTACGCTACTCGACCACCTTCGTTGAAGGGCTGAAAGGGAAATTGGGCTTCCATTGCGCACCGACGTTGGGATACGGTGTCATACTTTACGCCGGCTGCTCTGTGCTCGAGGTGTTTTGTTGTGCTTTGCCCAACATCTAAATTCATACCGAGACAGGAAACTTCCGCTAGTGTCGCAACCCCTTCGCCTCCATTTGAGTTACTCGCTCAAGCTAAGCGGTTATCGGTGCGTTTAGCGATTCACATTACACCGTTTTAGGACTCAAGGCTTGCCCAGAGAATCCCTCCTTGGGCTGCTTTTGTTCTTTTCTGGACCTCCTCAGAGGGGAGACTCAGAAGGCACGACCCCCTTGTAGCTGATCATTCCTGACAGATATATCATATCTTGTGTAAGCCACCCCCCCATCTGTTTTTTCCCTTTTGTTGCTGTTCGCCTTCAACATATTTGTGTTTGTTTTTTTTTTGCGGGAGAAGACTTCTTCTGGCAACGGACGGCCACCTCTCTCTCTCTCTTTCTCTCTCTCTTTCTCTCTCTCTCTTGGGGGATTTTTTTTATGGGCAAGAGGGGGAAAGTATTTCGTTACCTCTGCACAATCTCGTCATCAGTCCTTCCATTTAGTCCCCCCACTGCTCCTTTTGTCAATTCGGATTACATCCAAATCTGCGTCTACTACTACCTTCGACTCTATTTCTGTCTTTTCCGCGGATTTTTCGAGATTTCCCCTCCGTCGCCCTTGTCTCTCCGCTTTGTGCCACCCGTACACAGCACAGGCGGTAGTAAAGCAGGTAGCTAGCCTCAACACAGCAGCTACAAATATCCTCCACCGCCACCTAGATCAAGTCGGAAAACGTGGGGGGGGAGTAAACATCTGAAAGCGAGAGGGGGACCGTCCAGAGACAGCCCAAGTGCGATTAGATATAAAGGGTTCGAGAGGGCTAATTTTTGTGAACCTTTCTTCACCATGGCGACGATCATTAGTTTCACAACGATGTTTAATCGTTTACCCATTTACACACGACCGAAGGAACCGGCTATCGGATACCCTGTTCTTATCGAGAGCACCAACCAAACGTTGTCTGGCTTGCCGAGCTCGCAGATTGTTGGCTTCCCGGAATATCTAGGCGGCAGCAGCGCTCTCAGGAACCCCGGCGAATCAGTTTTCAAAGGGCCGCCGGAAAAACCGATTTTATCGTTGTAAGTTCTTAATTTGCCTTATATCCCTCCCAACCGCCGCTTGGTATATAAATTACTGTATGCGGTTGTGGTGGGACGCGGTCCTTTCATTTGTGGTTCTGTTGTTTTGGAGATGCTCGTTGCATACTAGCATTCTGAAACTAACCCTGGGCTCATTGAATAAAATACAGAAATGCTGGTAGTCACCAAAGCTTTTATGAAGATGATGATCTTGCTCCTCCTCCGCCACTTAGGATAAACTCTCTCCAATATCCTTCTTCGCCTGGCCCTTCTTCCTTGAATTCGAGCTGCACTATCAAACCGGATCCAAATAAACAACTCAACACCCCTGTGAACGTCCCTCTGCGAAAACCTAATATTACGCGCAAACCCGCGCCGTCGAATCTCAACAGTGCCAATTCGACGCATCCATCAGACACCTTCGTGGCATCTGGTTTGGGTAAAGCCGCTACTATGGATTTTCCACCCCCATCTTCATCCCGTGGCCGAGGGTTTGGGCTAGGAAACGTTGTCAAGGGGAAGGTGGCCGGTCGCAGGAGACATGATTCGTGCTCGGGAACGGAATCCCCGACCCCAATCGCTGCGGTGAAACCACCGAATTTTGTTTCGATCGATGATTGGTTGGATAGTCGTGAGCGTGAGGGGCTTCATCGACGGTCGAACACTATTTCTACCGCTGCTACCCAAGCTTCCAGTTACAAAGATCCCACCAAACTTCACATCCGTCAATCCACCTTTGCGCCCCTTACTCCTCCCGCCGGAATGTCGCTTAACGATTCCCCTGCCTTGCCCCCTATTCCCGCGCAATTCATTCCCACGCCTCGCTTGGACTCCGTCCGTGCCGTCTCGGCCCCGCCTCCCCCACATGAAATTCACCCAATACACCGCCCCGCATCTGTTCCCAAGGACAAACCTCAGGAACCCAAGGATCATCTCTCGCAGCTCGAATTCGAGCAGGACCAACTTACTGTGCGTCGCGCCGCGCTTCGCCGCGAGATTTACGACCTCGAGCAAGTCCTCCCCCCGAACCCCAGCACTCACAACCCTGTTGCCAGACGAGAAATGCAAACCAGAAGGGACCAGCTCGTTCAGGAGCTTGCGGACGTCGAGAAGGAGGTTCACGAAATGGGAATGAAGTTGCACAGAGCCTGGAGGCGAAGGGATAAGAAAATGGGCACCGAGGGGCCTACGCACTTGTGGGTTTCTAGAGTCACTGGCAGTGGGGATGAATAAAGTCATCTCTTGTTCCCCCCCCCCCCTCTTTTTCCTCATCTTCCCAATCTCTTTCGTTACATTTCCCTGTTCTTCCCTTGATACTTATCTTTTCGTTTCTTGTATATTCTATCTTCTATTCAGCGGCGGACTGTATTGAGGACAGGGCGGGGCGCGCCCCCCGTAACTTTCTATTCATCATTGTTGGCGTTTTCCTCCCCTTTACCCTTTTTATTTTTGTTAGCATCGGAGTTATATCATTCTTTTTTCTCTTATTCAGAAAACCAAACTCACTTCCTCTATTTCCACCTTCACAGATTGGGTTCTCCCGTTTTTTTATTCCTCACTCTTCTTTTCCCCCTTTCCACGAGCCGGGGTAAGAAGCACCAGAGGCACAACAATAACTTGTCTATCTCACCTACACTCCATTTACTCTATTTCATTAATACTGGATCGTTGAACACCGTTGTACCCTTGCATTTTCCCAACCAGCTTTACTGCTCCTCTGAACATGTCTTTCCCTATGGCAATGAGGTTGATGTGTAATTTAATCTATTCATTCATTTACCTATTTCTTACTCCTTCCTTATTTCTCCTATCATACTTCTCGAATCTCAGATCATCCATACCATACCCCTTTTCAAATGAAATCCGAAACCCGCAAGGTTAGCTTTTGCCACAGCAAGTTAACCATTGCCACTACCACTGCCACTACCACCACTATTTTTATTATAGTACGAGTATTTGTATTGTACTGCATTGCATTGCATTGCACTACACCACACGCACAGAGCGTGTCTGCTCACCACAATATCATACCAGTAATAGAGTATGTAACCTTAATAATCCCGGATGGGGGAAGAAAGAAAGAAAAAAATCCAACTCACCCTTTCTCTATTTCCTGCATATCATCCTCGAAATTAAGTATCCATACCCTACCCACCCACCCTGTGCGTGATATCAGAGCACAGCGCAGCCCTTGTCGACCAAGCTTCGCTTCAAACACTTATCTGCCGTGCGGCGCTAAATCATCGTTTCTCACTCGTCTGACGTGGGAGATGCAAGGAATGGAGAGTACCGTAGCACCCACCCCGTCGAGCCGCCGTGTGTGTCTGTATGTGGGGGGGGTAAATGCACAACCGGTATTGCATGCTGCACAGTACCGTGCCGGATGTACGTATGACGGAGGACATTTCATGTTCTCCGTCGTTCAAGGTATCATACTCACCTGCGCGTTCGCTTGTTTGCTTGTATATTTGCTGACACCACCCGTCGGTGATGTCTCTTACTGTATTCTCTGTATCCCCCTTTTTCGCCTCCTTCCATTCATTCCAAACCCCCCCGCGCCACTATGACTCTCGCTTCAATAACGGTAGTAAGCGAAAGGCGGGTGCAGGGATACCTCCGGGAGGGGCGGAGGGAGGGCTACTTGTTGTGCTGTATTGGGGGTGGATCCTCGTTTATCGGGCATTGTTTTGTTTTACCCGTTTGGTATGATAGGTTGTTCGCAGGGGCGATGACCAGATCAGGCATACCGGTATGCTTTGTCGGGGGCTGTTTGCTCGCTGGTTGTGGGGTAACAGTGAGTTGCTTTGTGCCTTCTGATACCGTACCATCCCCCTCCGAGGTGCGACTTGATTGCTGACTATCTTAGTGTTAATGGCCAGCTTGGTATTACAGCCTTTCCCTCCCTTCGTACTGATTCCCAAAGCTTGTGGCCGATGGGGGTGTTTACTAGACGAGAATATCTGATTGATATCGGATCATTTGGCAGAGGGGTGGTCTTTTACGTCCCACTATTGGTTACCCTGGTTTTCGGGGGAAAGTCCGAGTGTTAACGGATCCGAGTGAGGATGACGATCGCCTCCGGTGGACCTCACGCGTAAATCCGCAGCCACTGTACACTTCCCAACCGCTTGGCACTGGACCGCAGTTCTCTACAGGGCAACTATTTGCTGATGTGTATCGCCTTGCTGGTGGTTCGGATATAAACACTTCCCTCCAGGGACGTATCGAATCGCGGGAATCGACAATCACCTGCATTGGGCTGGAGGAAGCCATACTCCCTCGGTCTGGGCCCTGTAGCGGTAGACCGGAAACCACAACTACGGAACCTGAAGATATGTTGGCGGGAAAGCAGCCGGGATACGGTACTTGAACTCCTAGAACACTAATCATGGCAAGTTCGAACATGAGTTCTAGCAAAGGAACAGGGATCGTTTTGTTTTTTCCAATATTCCCCACATTGGTTTCCTTTGCTATTTGTGGGTGTATTTACTCACGGCTTATAGGTGCTGGTGTGTGATGCACGCCTGATTTTCAGACTAAGCCTTGTGGATTCTCTCCGAACAATCGTGGAATGGAGCCCAAGTATCATGGTCCCTCATCGATCCTTGCCTCGCGCTGGTAAGGCTGGTTTGTTTCTCCTTATTGCACATATTGCATGCTTACGCTGTACCATGGTTCCCACATCTGCCCCAAGTGCCGTTGGTCACGGCATTTGAAACTCTTGAAGGAGGCAGAACTTTTTTTTTTTTTCCAATTGTCACTCAACCTGGGAGGGTGATAAAGTTAGTCCGTCTGATAGTGAGCGAGGAGGGGCAGTCCTGGATAAGCGGCGTTTTGTAGCATTACTGCATAGTAAGAACAACTCTCCGCCCCGCTATAATATACATTCATCAAGAAATCATTCGTGATGGCTCTTATGCACTGAACCATCCCTCGCAGCTCAAATTCCAAACTCCACTACTGATATATGAAGGCAGGGCCGTGAAATGACCAGAACGGACATGCCAACCTCCGTAGGGATTCCTACACAACTCAATGAAACATGAAGATACCCCTCTACCGACTCCCCGGGTCTCCAGAATTCCCGGGGCAATCCTCTCCCCATCTATCCGTAAACTCCTGTATCGCACCACAAACCTCACGAGTAACGCCGAACGACAACACCAAACAGTGCCCCAAGAATGCCAACCATCCCATCCACACTTCCCTCCTCTGGATAACCACTAACCAAACCGCGACCTACTCCCTAGAAGTTGCCCCTCCTGCCATCCGCCCATCGAGCAATCCACCCACAAACCCGGCATTCCCACCTAGACAAGAGGTACGTACGATACGATGGGTGGATAGGCAGTAAACCGACATCACGACATCCCCACACAAGGGACAGCGCGGAAGCCCTGACAAAGGGTGCACCGATAGACTTACCCGCCATAAGCGCCGGGTGGAGCCGGGCAGGGAGGGAGGGGAAGGGGGGGGGGGTGGGGATTACGGGAGACCGGTATTCTGCGGCAACTAACTATGATACTGGGGCTTTTTTTCCCTCTTCAATGGTATGATAAAGAGGATTACGATAGTTTTTCCTATAATGAGTAAGTACCGTAAGCAACTGGGAGTTGCCTCATCATAAATTTAGGTTGATATAGACTACTGACTGCTCTTTACAGCACCGTACCTCGTCCGTCAGCGACATTCCCGGCTTTCTGGTGCTGTACGAGTACAGCATCATGGCATATTCGGCCTTCACCGTTGCTATTATAATATCAACAGAAACGAAGTGCGTAATTATGATACACTACTGTACAGTACACATCGTGTAGATGTTAAGATAATAATTAAATCTGGATTATCCATTGAGGAGGAAAAAAACAACCTCGAGATCAAATGCTCTTCTATATATATAAGGAAAACCATTATATTATATGCAATTATCATTACTTTCCGGTATGAGGAGTTGTTATCATAGTGCTTTCCTCCTCTTTTGCTTTTTTTTCCCCCCCTTCTGCTAATTACAAGATATGATCCCACTTACAAAAGCCTTGATATCGTAGAGTTCAGTTTCCCCAGAATTCCGTGATGGCTACGTAAGATATCCAGGAATACAAACTAATCTCATATCATAGAACGTATGATAACCGGGGGGGGGTTTTTTTTTCTTTCTTCCAATTGTCTCAACCTTCGAAAATCTCACCCCCTGTGGTGAGTGAATAACTCCAAATGCAGCAAACAAGACCGATAATAAATTCTCCCCACTCAAAGCGAGAAGTGAAGGCCAGTGCTTTCGGACTTAAAAACACTCCTTTATGGGTCATCGGTGTTCTACCAGGCAGGGCGGGCTCGCCGGTCGCGAGAGATCCTTTCGCTACAGCTGTGAGAACGATATCGACTGGTGCTTTACGGTGTAGTTTCGGGAATCGTGTCCTATCACGCAGGCGTTATATAGCACCCACCGTTGACCGCTTGTCACCGCATCACCGCTGGAATGGGATGGCGCAGTGGCATCTCTGCCATGTCTGGCTCGAGAGCCTGCAGTGCGGTAGGTAGGCCGGACGGAGCAGTTGCAGTACTGACTACAATACGGTATTGACCGGGCGGGGGTTGGGCCTGGAAATAATAATCAGGAGCGTAGTTGAGACGTCGGCCGTCAAGTTGCGCAGTGATGGGTTTTGACATGGGTTATCTGCTTGGGAAATTCTCTTCACTAGTGGTTGATTGGTAGATTGAACTGGGAAAAAGAGCTTCAAGTATTGGGTAGGATAGAAGTGTGGTAGGATATGGTAGCCGAGCGCTCTAAATCTATGATATGGGGTTTCCTTCCTCATCTAGAGGAGCTGGCCACGGAGTGATGTGAAATGACGTGGATCTGCCAGGGTTTATGATAATAATGGGGAAAGAAAGTGATAAAGAGAAGAAAGAAAAGAAGAAAAGCCGCAGAGCTCCGCCAGGCATCATTCGCACAGATTTATCCATCCACATCATGGGATCGAGCAGCGCAGTCATTATCTTGCGTGGGAGATTGGTGATAGAGGGCCTGGCGATGCAGAACTTACGTCGGAGTATACTGATGAGGAGCCAGATATTATAGATATGTCGGATTTCGGGCGGACCTGGTTGGTTATGACGATGGCATGTTAGTTTTGGTTTTTGGGAAGGGTGGATTATGGTGGTCGCCTTGCCTCCCATACAGATTGACCATTAACCTCGGCTCGCACAACCTTTAGTCTCTGGTAATCCGGACTACTGATCTCCCGGGGAGCCCGACTGCCCCTGCTGAGATCGCCTAGTGTACCCATGGCCTCCAGGTTCAGGGTTCCCTCTTCCAGCGCACGCTTTTGCATTCCACCCGCTGCTTTCCTCTCCGGGTCCGACGTGGATCTGTTAGGTACAGGCGGTAGCGCCGCCACCCCAGCGTACAGCTTTTGCTGCGGCTGTTGTTGTCCTAGTTGTTGTTTCTGCTGTTCCTGCTGCTGTTGTTGCACAAGGGGTCGTACGGCAGTTAATCGCTGAGGACCCGTGGGCTCGTACGGCTTTGGCTTCTCAGAAAGTGTTGCTGGACGAATCAGGCTCCTTGGCCCTGTCGAGGTCGGAGTGTCACCCATTTGGCTGACCCTCTCAATGTCCTTTGGATCGATCAACGGGATGAACATCAGCTTGGTGGACATGGGCGCGCAGGCGAGGATTATGGCTAGTGATATCTCAATCTGCGACCACCCGATTGCTTGTGGAACGGACACATTGAGAAGCTGTGTTGCGAATCGAAGGGCTGAAGCTACTATCACGAAGGCTGAGTTGAGGCGTTGTTAATAAGGTTCGTCTCTGGATAACGTGGGACATTGATGATCTAGTACCTCCGAAAAAATAGAGCACGGACACACCGATTTTTTGCCTCAGACGCAGTTTCACTCTAAATAGTAAAGGCACGGGCACTGCGAGTACCAGGGTATTTGTGATGATGTTCGAGACCCCAGAAGCGTATGTCAAAAGGGTCCTCCGAGTGCATTGGACTTGAAGGATTGTAACGCTGCCGGGTTAGTTCACTTTGCTTTTTATTGCGCTTATTTATTTCGGGAGCGGGGGCGGAGGCAGAGGGAGGGGAGGGGAACCCCACCATTTGAGTTCGATAGGCTCCAGAATGTGCTTATTGGAATGCAGCTCAGGAAAAGTGACAAGATGCATACTGCAAAAGCTATCAGACATATCACTTGGGTGATCCGAAGATAGACTGTGATATGTTTTGTGTGTTTTCTAGATTCCAAGGCACCAATTCATTAGCAAACCTGAATTAACTGAACCAACTCCCCTTCTTATCATCGATTCAGGCCGCTCACGCAAAACGACTATAGAGGAACAGCATGCTGAACTTGACCAGATAGATACTGATCAAGTACATGACCTCAAAGGCCAACGTGAGCTTGAGCCCGACCACAACCTTTTGAAGCCTCCTCTGCTCCTCGGCCTGGCTTTGCTTCCCCCAAAATGAAAAGCTCGTCTTTCCTGCATTCCCGCAGTTGAGATGCACGGTCAGCTATCACCAGTCACTCAATTGGGGAAAAAGGAAGGGAAGGGAAGGGAAAAAAGAAAGTAAGAAAGAAAAAGTAATAAAAGGAAAGCCACAATGCAATACCCAAGTCATGACCTCGAAAGAAAATATCACATACCGAGAAATTCAATCATTGAGAACACCATCTGGTTCATGACAAGAAAAAAGACAGCAGCCATGGTACAAACATCATCCCACCAAACTCTGGTCTTCAACCTCCGCCGTGAGAATATCCGCAGGACCACTGCTACCAGCGCCGATACCACAACAACCTGCGCCGCCGATTTCAATTCCGCCGTCCTCCCGAACATAGACTTCGAAAAGAAATTTGGTATCCCCTGCACCCCACTCGACGTAACATTCGACGACACCCAGAAGGCTGCGTTGGAAAAATCCTTTGCTGCCATGATTTCACTGCTTCTTTCTGTTCCCTCTTTTCTTTCCCCCTCCCTTTCTTCGGTTTTTCCCTCCTGTTTGTTTGTCTGCTATGCTTATTATCACGCCGGTTCTCCCCTTCTATCCCACTTTCCACAATGCACGTTTTCAGGAAGGAGAAGTCCGGTGGCGTTCTCTCTCTAGGTTGGGCTTTCTTCTTGCCGTCGTGACTGCACTGTATTAACCCGCCGTCTCCTTTTTTTGAAAAAAAAAAATTTTAAATGGGGGGAAAAAAAATAAAAGTATATAGCCGCTCAGCGTTGAATGGAAAGAATCAGAACCAGCTGCACAAATTATTCGTGTAAAAACCGACGTGAGTTATCCGACTCCGGCATCGAGCACGCAGAGGTTCGAAATTCGAATGGAGGGAGGACGGGATGAATGAGGGAGAAGGTACAGAGATGATTAGGGACAACGGACGATAATTGATACGGCAGCAGAATTAACTATGCACACAGGAAAAGGGTGAAAAAGAAATCCCCACAACCTCTTTCCCCCAGGTTCCCCTCCCCCCTCCCCCCAAAGAAAGTAAGAAGGAAAGCAAACAAGCGCTCGTAAAACCAAGGAGGCGCAGGAGTAATTGGAACAAAGGGTGACCATGGTACAAGAAAGGAGATGTTCACTATGGGGAGTACGGATTTCGCATGAACTCTCTGACAGGAGGTGTGAGAAACGTTCCATCGCGACATCAACCCCATCGAGTGCGAGCTCAAGGGTGTGGGAAGATGTGATGGGAAGTGAAACTCGTAAAAGGGCTGGAATCGAACGGCCAAGCTGCCAAGACGGGGCGTGGGTGAGCTCGCCAGCAATAAATTGAACCATTGGCCATTGAGAGAGAATGTTACGTAGAAGTGCCATTCGGTATGAGGATCCGCTGGGATTCGCCGTGAGTACAGTACGGGTATCATATAGCTTCAGTGGACCCGCGAAGGGGGGGTGGGGGTTGGCCTTGAAACGCTGTGAAACGTCGGGCGGGCCATTGAATGTCACCGGCTGCTTCACTGCTGCTCCGCCTTGGCGGAAGAATTAAAACTTGCATTGGCAGGCATCAGTGTCTTCCGGATGAAGCTTGACGACGATAACTCAACCACAGTACTGTGTGATATAGCGAGCTCAAGTCCAACCCGCAGCCGCAGCCGCACCTCGCTACAATGGACCCCTTCTGCAGTGGAGAAAATCACTATCGCGAACCAATCGCTCGCGAGCTCGAATGCGCATGCATCATTCCTCGTTATGACAAAATACATGGTGGGGACACCCCGTACAGCCTCACCATACTGCTTGGCGGCGATTCCACAAGTATCCGGCAATCCTGGCAGGGTTTGCGCCCAGGAAGCGCCAAGATTTCCGGATACTTGTGGAATCGCCGAGTATGATGAGATAGCGCCCTTGTTGCTACCGGTGGGGGGGATCTGACAAGGCGTGATATATTGGGATGGACCATTGAGTGCACTGTCCGTGGGTAAAATGCCTGCCCGTCTGCCTGCCTGACGTTTGCAAAGCAGACTGCTGTTGCATACAGCCAAAGGATTTTCCCAGAGCCTCGGGGTTCCGGTGGTACGCAGTGGCAGTCCGTTTTACGAACGTCAGGCAATCACATCACTATAACCGGTACGAGCAACTCAGCGCTTCCTCCCGACCCTTTTTCCCTTGAGCTTGGTGTGCTAGTACTGTAATTATGATACCGGTAGTGGTCCCGCAACCAAAAACTATCCGAAAGCTCGGGTAGGCTAATAATATCTTTCCAAGGTATCATCATAGCTCCTCCCACTGATTATTCCTTTACTGTGCGTTGCAAGGGCAAGGTGCCCCCCCCCCCCAGGTCACAATCAGGCTGAATGCTCGGAATACCGGTACTGTACAATACACCTCAAAAACGGGATCCCATGCCCTTTTGGTGCTTACTGTACCCACGACTCGCTGTCTCCTAAACCGGCAAGAGATTGAAAAAATTACGTGCTATGATAAGTTATAGTGCTGTATGATACCCGGTAAATTTCCAGGGCATGGATAACTAAGGAACTGTTTAGGCCCTACGAACCCGAGAATGCCTCAGTGATTACCAACATAGGGTAGTTGCAGTCGTGGCTAATATGGGTTGTGACCTGAAGTTTGCACATCTGTGGGGTTCCAGCCATCATATTGACAAAATGGTCTTTATTTAGCTGTCCTAAACACGGACGGGGAGCTGCATGAAACTTCTAATGTCTGCCACCTGGGAGTTGTTTGGCTCTTAGTGCTCTCACTATTTGAATTACGAAGGGGAAAACCCTAAAATCTCGGCTTTCGTTATAGTGGTGAGCGACTGCGCTGGTACTTCCCTCCATCTCGTACGAGCATGATGCCGCGGCGCGGTAGAGCGCCTGTCCTAACAGCTAATTCCCATCAGAGAGTGAGGTTCCTGAACCCCGACGAGAAATGAGGCGAGAATCTGGACGCATCTCGGAATGAACTTGTTCACTGAGTGATGCTCTGGCGGGGTGTATATCCAATCGAGTAAGCCTACTGTAAAGAATCCTTCCCTATTCCTCCCCGTTCAATCCCTTCATAGAGTTGGGCCGAGTGTTGGGATATTCAAACTCGTGAAGCTAAAGGGACTCTTTGAATCGAGACCAAACAAAGCCACCCCTTCTCAGCCATCATACAAGCAAATCCTACGGGATGAAAAGACGGGTACGGGGCTTAATCGGATATGTTGCACTCCCCCCTTCCCAATCCACCCCCGCCTGCCAACAACGAAGCACACCCGGATGGCCGGGAAAAAGGGGCGGACAGAAGAAAGGGCAAAAACGGAAAAGAGCTAAAATTGAGTCAACAAATATCTCTGACTTGGTGGAAAATACGGGAGAAAGCTTTCGCGAGATCTCCACATTACCTGTAGATGAGTGCTATTGGGCTGCAGGCGCAAGATCAGCCACAAGCGGAGCAAATTGATTCCCGCTCCCTTGAGATCTCAAGGAATCCGCGCTAGTATTGGTAAAAGTGCTGTGATGCAGCGTGGTGTGTACGAGTACAGGTACCAGTAGCTGCTCCAGAGAACGTGGCTCCCGTCCTCGCTGTGCCGAGACAGACAGCAACCGATAATCGATGACGGCCATGCTCCGCACCATTGGGCCCCCAAGATCATGGTCCTCTATCGCAGTCGATTACTCGAGCGCCGTAGTAGATCTTCCCAATGGAAAGCCAGAAAAGGCGGGAGGGAAATCTACTTTCACCACATACCAACAACTACTGCCAGTTGTTATTCACACCAACAACATCCAACGAGTACTAGCTGTGTATGGCTCGAATGACAATGCAGGCACACAAATGCACACGCACTGTAATGTACAAGTACGAGTACTCGAGCACAGAACTGCACTGTGTACCTGCAGAGGTTATCTTCTCCATTACTCAGCCTTGCCAGCCGCCCGGGGATATATATCTTTCCATCGCTTTTGGATTCGAATATTTGGGGGTACCGGTATCGTGCACCGGAACGTCCTCTTCTCAAATGACCTTGTCGGGGGCTGTTGAGGTTGATATGGTATAAGATTGAGGTTGTGGGTGAATCCGTCGCGGTTGCTGTTTTTTCCCTCTACCATTGTTGAGTACGGTGGAGGGCAAGGGAGGCAACAGCTTTGACAAAACCCCAAATACCTCGGGTCGTGCCTCATACCGATGATGTCTGCATCTCGAGGTATGATACGAAGCATGTGAGAAAAGCATCAAGAACCGATAATTCCTTTGAGGCCTGCCCGTTCCTTTTGGCTTGTTTGCGAGACCTCTGCCCATGGCGGATTCCTTTGCGCTTCACGTATCGTACCCATTGGCTCCGCCTGTGCCTGTCCAACCGCTTTTGACTGTTGTTGAAAGTCATCGTGAAGAAAAAAAGAAGAGAGGATTGGTCGGCGAGCCGAAAAGGGAGTCTTGTCACCAGCAAAGGCATGGAAATTTACCGGGTCCGAAGGCCTAACCTTTTTTGGGATGGTGTGTTCTCAGCCTGGCCCAACATCGCGGTTTCACCATTGGCGGCTTTTTGCGAAAAGTGTGACTGGTATACTTGTACAGTAGTACCGGTCACCGTACGGTACCTGTCAGTATAGAAGCACTCGTACTCGTACTGTACTCGTACTGTCAAAAAGTCTGCGGATAATTCAGAGCCCGGGGGTCCGAGTGGAACTCAGATTTGTTACCGTAGGCACAGTAATTTATCCACAGACTTTTGCCCTTGGCGGGTAGACTACATACGGCACAGTTTTTCACGTATCCGGTCAAACTGAGCGTCTCCCTGCAAGGCTCTAATCTCCGTTTTGAGACAAAGGTTCACTTGAAAACTTAGTGCTGACCGGAAAAGGAATAGGAAGCTCCCTGTTACTCGAGTACTCGAGTACGGTAACCGCTGCCAACACGCTTCAAGCTCCTCCTATTGTAGTCTAACCCAACCAGCCACATTGAGCCCAACCCAGGATCATCTCCAAGCCCGCTTGTCCGAGGAGATCGAACTCTGCCAATGCCGTGCCCAATTTGACGAGTGAGAGTGATGGCTCAAGCACACCATTCATTTCCATTCCCGGGGGGGAGGCGGAAGAAAAGGAAAAAACATCCTTCCACTCCCTCGCTTTCTCCCCTAACTTGCCGTACTCGAGTACAGATAGTCTACGGGTACTCTAAATGCACCGGGAGAGGCGCCACCGCGCTCGTACGGGTATTGTCACTGCGCTGGGTACAGCTGTCTACATGAGCTTAGAACGCGGGTGGATGGATGGTTTACAAGTACCAGTCGAGTGGGATCGGGTAATGGACTTCGCCGCAAAAGTGAAAATTTCGGTGGACCGAAGATGGCGCCGGGAGTCCACGCACTTTGCTCAACAGCTATCATACGGTACAAGTACTCGTACAAGTAAATTTACTGTACTGTAGTTCTGGACCCGTCGTCCTCTCAGAACGCTTCCTTGCGCGCATGCCTGACCGGGATCCGTGGTCTCTTTGCTGGTTGAGTGACCCGATGTTGTCTTACACGCGCAGGTGAAAATGACAGCAGTGTGCACTCGAGCATGCACCATTTGTGGCTGACTGTAGGGTATACTCGTACAATGTATCCCACTTCGGGCTAGGACTCTCCCTTGCTGTTGCGCTGGTAAACAATTGGCGGAAAGCGAGGACTGGAAGATGCTCCTCCTCCCCCACCTCCGCCTCCTCTCCCTTCTCCACGGGGGATGGTGATGATGGTGCGGTGTGTAGACTACGTAACTTATCGGAATTGGCGTTTTAGCCCTTCCCATTTGTGTTATGGTTATGCCGTTTTTTTTCTCTCTCACCGTCACTCGGAGCTGAAAAGCAATCGAGAGGTGTCTCTTCGCGGGACGGGCGTAGGGAGGTTTGAGGGATGTGATCCGTGAAACAGAGGAGACATTGGGGAATAAAGTCTTGGACTCTTGGGATTTCATCTGTTGAAAGTTCCTTCCGCAAATCCGGGTGCAGAATGGAGCTGGAATACAGAGAACCGAGGGAACCTCGCAGTAGCATGCTACAAGTACTCGTGCTACTACCGATACTCGTCTAATCAAGCGGTCTAGAGTATGGTGTCCGGCGCTGCTGTGCGAAGGTCTACCGTAAAGTACCAGCACGGTACTCGAGGGAGAAGACTCTGGGGTAACTTACAGGTAGTCGAGTACCGTACCGTACAAGTAGAGGCGGAGGTGAAAGTCCAAAGAAGCTACATGTATTTGCACAGTATGATACCGGCAGCAAAACAAACCCCGTTCCCAGTTGGTGATCGGACCGATTAGTGAATGAACGATAGGCCACCTCTTATCCAGAACAAGTTAAGCATACCAAGGTCAAGACAACCAACATTCGAGAGGGTTGGTGCGGAAAATAGAAAATAGAAAAAAAAGAAATAAAAAAAAAGGGCAAGAGAAGGGCTGCATTTTGTTCGAAGATACGTGCACAGCACACATGGGATATGACTGAGATCTTTGGATGGCAGGGGGGGGGAGAAGAAAAAAAAAAAAGTTGTCCGTATCCCACGCGAAGGAGGAGTTTCCTTTAGTCTAATTACTCGTAGTGACGGGCCTCGTGAAAAGAGTATTAGGAGAGCCGTACTTCCCTTCACTTGGTCTATGCTTTTTTGACTCCCTGTTAACCTCCCCATTTCGTGTCTTCGTCCTCGGTTTTTCATTTTCGTCTTCACTTCCCCTTTCCATTTCTTTACCGAACTCGAAAAGAGGAAGGATTTCGTTATCCCTTCCAATCCGCTGGACACCTTCCGTTCTTTGCTGTTCCTCCCATTCGGTGCGTCCTCTTGGGGTGCCGGTGCTGGCTGGTGACTGTACTGCTGTTTCTGCAGGCAGTCGTCCGTTCCCTCTACCCGTTACGGATCTTGCATCAACCGGGTGCTCATTTCAGCTTGCACCGCCGCCCTTCGCCCCAAGATTACAAGAGGAGCGTATAAAGTCACTCTCCAAGTCGCTCTCCTAGAGATTGGCCCTTGGGATAAGAAGGTTCGAAAGGGTCGTCAGACGGGACACAGGTCAGGGCAAAGTGAGGAAGAGTCGAGGGCATTTCATCCATTATCGGTACCGTGCCACTCTTGCTGCTGCTGCTCGTGATACTCAGCACGGCGTAACTGGACCGACTCCTCTACACCTGTTTTGCGGCTCTTTTGTTTACTGGACCGTCGTTGGGCCAAAGGGCGGGCTAGTTTCTTCGGCTTCCACTCGCTTCAGTAGCCTTTTCTTTTTTTCCTCTTTTCCCTTCTCCCCTCCAGCCCCCTCTTCACGATGCCAGCAGCAGCAGCGGGGACGGGTGGAGGAGTCCAGCGCTCCTTCTCCTTTCGGCGGCCCTTTAGCCAGGCTTCACGGCTATCCATCCCTAAGGCAAAAGGTCCATCACCGCCGGCTGCTCCCTCCGCTGCAGCCGCTTCGAATTCGAAAACGAAGGCCACGCAGCAGCTGAAGCCGGACTCCCCGCCCCTCCTTTCCTTAGCTTCCACCTCGCAGTCCGGGGATCACCCCTCGACCCTGGATGACGATGACTTCTTCTCGAATCCCTTGAAGTCGAACAACTTCATCTCCCAGCAAACCATTACAAGCATTACCCAGGATTCGGGTGTTCAGACCGGTGACACTTCAAAAACACTTGCGAAGCCCTCCCTCGCTCCTTCTGCCGCATTCGAATGCGACGACCCGGTTAGCGGTTCGGACCCGAAAGGGCAGCCCCAAATAAGGATATCAACTTTTCTCAAGCCCTCGAATCCTGTGCAAGACACTTCTTACCAACCCCCGGTTTCACCCGCGAGCAGTGCTTCTTTTCTGGATTTAAAGGCTCGCTCGGTTTCCGAGACATTCGTCACCTTATCTCACCGTTCATGGAATTCACCGAACGTTTCCAGGTCACCATCGCCCAGCAGTCGGGATGACAGAAGCAGTCGGGATGAGAACGATTCGAGATCAACAAGCTCAGTATCGTCGTCAGCTAGCCCCACGAAAGCCAATGGGGCCGAGGATACAGCAGAGTCCAAAAATGTGTTTCAACCGGCTCGCCCGGGAATTGACCGATCACCGAGCCTTTTGGGCAAAGCAAGAAGGCCATTGAGCGTGTTTACGAGATCTTCAGCATCCGAGTCTTCAATGGCACCTCCTTCAACGTTAAAGAAAGCCTATGTGGGCTCTAGTGATAGTGTCGGTTCATTGGGCGAACGCCCAGCATTGAAAAAGGTCAAGGACGAGCTGTGGGAGGCCTACAAGCTACTAGAAAGTGATTTCCAAAGGTACAACGAATTCTTTGGGAGCTTGCTGTCTCCGATTGGCTAAAAATTGTATTAGGTTCCAAGGCAAGTCTACGGCTCAGAAAGCCAACATCATTCGGCAATCTCTCATCCCCTTTCTCCGAAAATTCGAAGATAAATCGACTGCACACATTGCACCCGATGAACTTGATAGGAGGGTTAGGGTCTTGCATCGTTGGTGGACCGGCCTCATGGCGCAGCTTCGTATTCGGAATTCACAGGCAATCGCTGGTGCTGATAGGCCAGTTTATCTGGAAGGTATATCGGGCCTCCTTTCTCGGCCCGAATGGAGGTCCGCACCATCAACCTTTGCTCCTGTGAATCAGCGACTCCTGGCTTCAGCAAAGTCTCGGTCTTCTTCCTCCCTCGCTTCGACATCCTCGGCTTACTCCCTTCAGAAATCGGTCCAACACAACATCAAGGTCTTATTCACACGGACACTGTACGACACTCTTGGGTTTACGGTGGAGAAGATGGGGCTCCGAGCATCCCCTCCTAGCATGGTGACATTTGGCGGCAAGGTCCTGGCTTACGCATTTTATTTTTGTCCGGGCGTTGCGGATATGTTGATTAGTCTGTGGGAGATTCAGCCAGCGGCTGTGAGAAGGGTTCTCCCCGAATTCGGAGTGGGGCGAGGCACGGATTTACGACAGGTTTCCGAGGCAATTGTCAGCGATTTCCCGGAAACCTTGCAGTCACTTGGGTTCACCACACTGGTCGCAACTCTGCGGGGTATGAAACAACCCGCGAAGTCACCAGTTGGTATCCAAGTGGACTGGCACGGCACGTGGACCAGCCGATGGAGTGGTCATGACTCGGACCTGCTGTATGTTTTCTTGAGACACTACCACATCTTGATGTATGACTACCTGCCAGCGGATGTATCGCCACTGGCCAGGTTCACCGCTCCTGGTTATGTCATGGTGCAGGCTCACATGCTATCACTGCTTGATAGCACCATCCATCGCCAACCTACACTAATGGGAGCTGATAATTTGGCGTCGACAACCTTTGAGGACATGCTCGCCAACGCTACCGCCGCTCTACCCATGGCTGCCAGAAATCCCGCACGAACAATGGCGGAAAATAAGATGGTGATACTTCTCCGGGATGTCATATCCGATAAGGTCAATTACTCGGAGGAATGTCGTATCATGTACATTACTTCCTTCATGGCCACGATCAAGGGAGCCGTTCGGAAGACACGCGTTTACGATGCCGATGCCTGTTTCACTTTATGTGACTTGGTGGAGGAAATATTGCCTCTATTTTCACAAGCGGAGAAGCTTTACAACATGGCTTTTGTGGATTGGCCGTTTTGGATAGATGTCTTGAAACAAATGTTGGAGAGTGAAAATAATATGATTGAGTTGCGGCTGATCTCATTCATCTATACTGCCTGGGATGTTATTGTGGAGGAAGAGGGGCGAAAGCGAGCGATATGTTTGGACTGGTTATTATCGGAGGCTGTTTGGGAAAAATACTTTTGCCATTGGTGCCCGATGGTCAGAGCATATTTCATGAGGTTGGCCTGTTGGAGATTGGGTAGATACGATGGGAGCCCTAATCCGCTGGATCTGTGAGTTAACTTCCGAAGAGCGCATGGTGATTCATCTAATTATGTGGTACAGGGACATTCTTGAAACCTTACTTAGGCGGCTACGGACTGCGTATGCTCATTACCTACGACTAAAAGACAGAGCAGAAGCGAATAAAACACCCCTTCCGTCCACCGCACCATGCCTTCCTCAGCCTTGCAGGCGATTACTTATTATCCGGAGCGATGTCCTGACCACACCTCAAGGTGTCTTGTTGGATGGAGTAATACCAACGGCTGCTCCGATATCCGACCCCGAGTCCTTGCCCAGGTTCAGTTCCTCGATGCCATTGACTAGCACATCCACAGCAACTAGCGATGCTCAGTCAATCCCGTCTACCGACACTGTGGATGCAACGCGCCCAACCGATCCAAATGCTTCTTCGTTCAGCAGGAGGTGGGGTGCAATTCGCAGTGTGATAGGTCTCAAGTCTGCCGTCAACAACGACGCATCCCCCCCAGACTCACCGGAATTGCCCCTGCCTCGGAAGCAGGCTGGTAGCATCCCTTCATCAAAAGGAAGCCCTAAGCGCGAATCATCCTTTACACAGCAGCAACCGGTCCGACAGCAGAAAAAGACTACATTTAAATTTGCATTGGACTGGGTGGATAGGCCGCCATTTGGAAACAGAGAGAGAAGGCTGGGTCCGGCACGAATACCCAGTGCTGGGCAAAAGTATGTAGATGCGGAATGCAACGTGCCTTTGAGCGTCGATCTCTCTGGTTACACCGGCAATGCAAGCCACTGGACTTATGTGGGTCGTGCACTTGCAGAATGGGTAGTTGTGGTCATGGAGTGCGAGAATTTCTTCGAGAGAAGAAAGAGCGAAGGCAAAGAGACGGATAAAGATATAGAGACTCCGAGTTTGGTGGTCGATTCGGCGCGGAAGCTTTAAAGGGAAGCTCAAAAGGGACTCTACCCAGACATGACGCTTTCTCATTCACCATTCATTCATTCATTCATTTATTTTCCGTTCCACTATTTTTCATTATTGGGCGCTTCGAATATTGCGGGGATAGATGGGGCCAAGAGACGGCATATAATACCACAGACAGAAGATTCCCTCTCAATTCCAAATCTGGAGGAGGGAAGGCTTAAAATGGGTTGGTTTGTTGATTATTCGCGTTTTTTCTTTCGCTTTTTCTTTGCAACATCGCTCTCGTTCCTTGGTTCGATAGTTGTTTTTGTTCCTTGATTCTCGTTCGCATGCTCTGCGGGGCTTTTCTAATCGGTTTGCAGGTTCCGGCGTTTTTTTATATTTTATTTATCACTCCTTCCATATAAGATTTTGTTGCTTTTTCTCCTTTTCTCTCTTCAAGCGGGGTGATCTACCGGTTTTCTAATTCATGGTTTTTGGTGTTTTCTCCTGTCAATCGCCTTTTCCGTTTATCTTTTTTTTTTTCGTCTTCTTCCTCTTCGCAACTTTCTCCCGATTCTTTCGTTTTTGGTCGTTCAGTAACTTGAGGCAAGGAGGGGAATATCATTTGGCGGGGGTAGCATTTCACTTGGCACAGTACTGTACACGAGAAAGAATATGTATCTCTTGTGCCCCCCCTCCCCCTAATCCTGGAAGCGGGGTAGGCGGCAGGTAGGAAAATCATCCATACGAGCACGGGAAATTATTTATAATTTAGCACCCCCTTTGCAAGCAGGGAATGGGTTCTGGGAGGGGCTTATGAAACGAAACAAACTTCGCCCTTCCTCTTCTCCTTGCCCCTTCCTCACCTCATCTATTTTCTGTGAGCCCGGCTGCCCGAGAAATGTGTGAGAAGTATTGTGGCTTGTGTGGTACCTCAAACCAGAGAAAATCCCCTATCCAATTCCGCATGCTCCGTTTCACGGGGACACCTGCAGTATTACGATGCACAGATAAAGAGGAATTGGTAACGACTGTTTGAGCAGGTTACACTTTTACTGGCACACGCGCTTCCCCAATCACGAGCCTATGGCACACATGGTCAGGTCGTTCACTGTACCTGTATGGTTAAAATACAGTTTCGTGCGGGTACCGTAGCACGCTGCTTGTGCTGGCATGACACAATTTCTGCACGGCATAATGCGTGCGTATGACAAGTATGGGATGAATCTAGTCCTCGCTAGAATACCGCAAAAACCCGAATAGCAGAAGATGAGAGATAAATGTCCTACGTTGTAGTTGCCCCTCCTAGTAAGGCGCTGTGCGTGTTCCTTTTTGGTTATTAGGTGAACTCTTTCGGTACCATGCATTATTATGCTGGGATTTATACTCTCTCACTTGAAGGTATCCATCCTAATATACGGTACCTTATTTTGGGCGCTTTTTTGGGATGCCAAGATACGGAATATCGCTTAAACATCACCCCATACTCGCACCTTGAATGTTTTCCCCTTATTTGTGTGGCAGTGGAATTGGAACGTTATCTGTATGCTTGGATTTTCCTTGAATCCTGGAGGGTTTCCCCGTTGTGTGGTAGTACAGTACGCATCATGAAGAGGATGTCGGGATTCTGTGGAGGTTCATTTGGTTGCTCATGTGGGGGGGGTTGGATAGTGCGGTACCGGTACCGTATCATACGTGACCAAATCTTTAGTACCGGCACCATAGCAGTAGCGGCACACCCGATGAAACAGATTCTCTGTTTCCTCTTCTCTCAGCCGACCTCTCACAGATGCAGTTAATAAGGAATAACTCCGCGGTAGGCTCACCTTGAGCAATGGAGGGCTTGAGTTTTCGGATGAGCTGATTGTGGCGTACTAGCCGATTTCAAAAGTATCCGGACACCCCGGCGCCAAGACAGGGGCACTGGGTGCCAAGGCATCTAGATACTTTAAAAATCAGCTAGTACAAGTGCCAGGGGAGATGTTTTTATACAAGACAGGGATTATTTTGCAGATTAACCTAAATTAACTGTGCAAAAACTTTATCCTGGCACTCGCACTAGCTGATCTTTAAAGTATCCGGACACCTTGGCACCTAGCAGCCCTCTCTTGGC